TGGAGATGAAGATAGTGATACGATGAAATCAGCAATCGAAATTTTAGAGGGGACATGAAAATCGAGGAATAAATAACCCGATGATTATTGGTGTTGTCGAAACGATGCATCATTTGCAGTCTATTCGACGGAACCAATCCACGTTGTCCGTTCTTATTCACACAATACCACCAACCTGACGTCGATGCACTACCGTTCAGATCTATAAATAATACTTCACATCTGTGGAATCATGTTTATAATCAACTAAGTTTCAAAAAAATTGTTAGCCATATTTCTGCAAGAAGAAACTTGCAGAAGTCTCGCTGTCATAAAATGAAGTTCCTTGAAAAATACGTCAAATTTGCATCCACCGAAGGAAACCATATCATGAGAGTTCTCTCCTATGAAAGACATTTCTAATTTTGCTCCTCTTGAATGCACCTCAAATTTCTTGTTACCTCCCTCTTTTTTAAGTTATGCAAGCTGATGTGGTGAGTTCGATGATCTCCTAAAGTTTATTTTCGTTGTCAACAGGCAGATTTAACGCGTGCAATGGTTTCATGAGTTGTCCTCGTTCCGGTTACACACATTAAAATCAGTGCCGTTATGAAGAGAACAAGAATTTTAAAAAAATGTGTGAAATGTAGCAGCTGTCAACAAAATTAAACTTTCACATAACACGAAAGAATTTAGATTAAGCGATTACGCCTATTTTAAACGATCATTTTATGATCAAGTTTTGCTTTAGTGCTAGCAGTGAGTAAAATGAAGGATACTGTTGGCTGCAATAATAATGAATTTTTTTCGATAAAAACATGAGGATGTTTAGGTAACAATACGCGCTTCATATTGCGAATCGTATTCATAGTTAAGTCAGAACACAATTCATCTGTACCCGATACTGAATAACCATTAGGCATCTTATCGAGTATGATGCACTGAATGATCGCTATAGGTTCTAATAAAATGAAACGTTGAGGTTTCTACGAGGAACCACGACTGAATTAAATGACCTTGAACAGACTATTATATACTTATATCAGTAATCCAGCATATTCAATGCGAATTACACGATAGATATTTTATCGTGTTGAGAAATAGAGCACATCATTCACTAGTCGCAATCAAAAAACTAGTTCATGGTTCTCTAAATAATCTGCATCGCAAATCAACTGTAACAAAATGAAGTCAGCAGTCGGATATTTTTAATGAGTGGACAAAATTAATGATCGATGAACTGAGGCGTCGACGCTATCGTTTGAAAAAAAATTGCACTTATTGATTGAACAGCAATTTTTTCAGTGCGATATGAACGAGTTGAGTTTGGTAAGGTGAAAATTACTGAAAGAATCACGGAAATTTATTAGCGAGGAGATATTTGTTGAGTGAAAATTTCCAATCATCCAACTCTAACTAGCGATCTTCGGTTATCAAAAAATTTCTTGATATCACCACTGAATTGTTTTCATTTTGTCAAAATGCACTGAATTGTTTTGATATTGTTCGACTACCTATGTGAACACATGGAATTTCGTATGTCACTAGCGAAAATCAACTGATTCATTGGATTGAAATGCATTGAAATTTCGGAGCAGCGAACGCAACTCCCCAACATTCCGGCAACGGTTCAAACNGTGTAAATAGAGAGAAAAATGTTGGCTGATGTGATTTGTTTTCATTTTGTTCGACTGTTTAAAAGCGAACATATCAAATTTCGTATCTGCACACCAATCGTCGGAGTGGCTATGTGATATTTTTACAACGAATCAAAGCATTCTCGCATCTTCCTACTAAGCTAATTCATTGATCCAGCGAATGAAACTGATGAATGATCCAGCGAAATCATTCGTGGAATTTATCAAGAGAATAAGCACCGGACGAAATTTGAGTTCGGCAATTTTATGTCAAGCAAATGAAATAAAATGATCAAACGCAAGTTCGGGATGTCATGAAAACAAAATGATCCATACGAGATGATAGCTGATCAAAAATTGATGGAAATGCCCAATGTTTCGAAGGCGATTTTCACGAAGCAAATCATAATCTACAACTAGCAACTGATGATGAACCAGTACAATTAGTTATTCTCCTCGTTTTTTCCATAAACGATAGAGGTAACTTCCAAATTTGCACTCAGCTATTCATAAACTAAACTCTGGCTGTAGGCCTTATAGATTAAAGAGGTAATGATGATAACTCACTAGGTTGTTCGTCAAGAACACGCAGAATTTCGTCTTTTTCGAACGCGAGTTCGTCTGCCCACTCGGCTTCGTTGTCATAGAGGGCTTTGGCCACACCAACCTGCAAATAGCACTCGCTCTTAAATTATATTCGATCGGATATAATGAGATTATTTAAGCGAAATGATGGCATTATCTTCTCCATCGAGACACTGTGCTCCATGGAGCAATGTTCCGCTTGACTCAACCGAGAAATTCTTCTGCGGTAATGCGCGGATGGATGAAGCGCATTCAAAGAGGATCAAAAAATTACACCACACATTCTTAGTTATTCAATTAAACGATAACCAGAAACCAGAAACGTAAATGAATTCCATCCGGATATTATTCGTTTATCGTTGAAAGAAATGGTTTTTGTTGAATAGAATGAAAATTTGAATAAAATGAAAATCATTCTGGAAAATTTGTAGCCGAATGAATTCAAAAAAAAAACTGAAATTGGGGTAATTTGAATCAAATTCACAAATCTAAAGACATCCCCTAATTTTGTTAATTGATGATTGGCAAAAAATATGCACCGCCAAAAAAATTAATTAATTAGTAATTAGTGAAGAAGTAAGAGAGAAATTCGAAGGCGTTAAAGCGGTAATAAACCCGACGACTTTCGAGTACTTTCTATCTACCGAACATCATGAGAGTCTAATTTGAGCATTAGTTCAATCAAATTAAATGAATTGAGCGATTCAGCGAACTGTCACTTCGAGTTCATTAAGAGCGACACAAAATAATGATTTCGTTTCTTATTCATATTAACTACCACTAAAATGCAACACTTACAAATCCAGCTACATCTCAATATTCCCAATTTTGCGCTCCAAAGAATGGTCTTTTCAAGCAATGAAAATGTTCCATTGGGTTGCTTGGACATCCTACTGAATATATGCGTGCTTAAGCAAAGGATCTGAAATTCCGTTTTGCGGTTACGATCCGAAGCAGGAGTTTAGGATGAGGAAGACTGACAATGAGGAAACATCTTGTTACATATCACCTTCTTATGTGTATAGTGACAGTTACACTTGTTATAACACTTCTTTGATTACAACTCTTGTGGTGTCAACGTTCTAATGATGATTAAAAGAATCGCTTCCATGAATTGTTAAAAACATCAATCAAAGTTGATTATGGAATCGTCAAATGAAAATCCTCAAGTCAGTCTTTTTTCTCGAACCCGCAAATCATATGATTGCGATGTTGTAATGGTTCCATCGATTTCAGTTTTTTCGAGAGAGTGATAAAAATGACAACCGCTACATAATTATGATCTTTTTTTTGCATTAACACGAATCTTGCAATCGTAACGCAACATCCTACAAATGAAACACTTGCAATGCGATTAAACTTGTCGAAAAATATCAGAATTCGATTAATTTTGAAAAAAAATAATCGAATTCATTTAACATCACGGAAATACGATTATTCTCACAGAGCAATTTCTTGCAATTGAATCATACGACGACTCAATCATGAAGGTGTTATTGTGAAATAAAAGGAAATAATGGAATGTGACTGCAAAGTGTTGAAATATTCCACGATTATAATGAATAAAGACATCAAAAAAATCGCAATTCAACAGCGATTCAGCGAAAACATAAAAGCACACGTTTCAACTCTCATAGAGAATGA